AATAACTCCAATTGTGTCTAAGGGGAGACTGTGCAGAAATCATAACTTTCTAAAAGAAAACTGCTGTAAGGGTTAAAAAGTTTTCCAGGCCTCTCTCCCTGTAACAGAGAGAAATCAAATTAGCTCTAATCAAAGACCCTTACAAATGACTATCTCAAATTCATGGATACTCCTAGTCTGTCACAATTTGTCATGTAAACCCTTATCTTTGTCACAGTTTGCCTTGTAGACTCCTCCACTCAAGTTCTCATGTGGCTTTGTGTACTGTAAAAACTTACTTCTAGCACTCCTGGGGTGAACAGAAGTCTCAGAGTACTTCTGCTGAGACTTTGATATGTTAAAGAAGAACAATCCACAACTGAACTGTCTAAGCATTCTGTATATAGGATACCTGAATCTGTCTGTCAGGGCTGCTGCTTCACTCTTGGAAGTGACAGCCTGCATGCATGCATCATAAAGTTTTCTCTTCTAGGGTTCTCTCCTGCCTCACTGATTTGACCTCCGGCCTCGAACCCTTCTGGGGGCTCTGTACCCCAGGGGAGCGAGATTTCCCCCTCAGACTCCTTCTCTGGATGGTGCAAAAAGATGCAATGAATCCAAGAGATCCCCCTTCTGAGTCTGGGAACAGGAGTGCCAAGGGGGGGAGGGGCGTCCCTTCGATCTGAAGCCTCAATGGCAGAAGTTCTCTTTTGGCCTCCCTCACTGCAGGCCTCCGTCTGGTATCTGGCCAGCCCGGTTCTTGCTCTACAGCAGGGCTGAGCTTCTGGCCCTGAGAGCCTCGTGCCTGCAGAGTGGGAGGCCAGTGAGCGTGTCTGGAAGTAACCTGCTGAGAGGCAGGCAGGGAATGGGCCTTGGGAGGGAAGGCCAGATCCTGAAGAGGAAAAGAAGTAACAGGAGAGGAAGGGGATGGGGAGAATGTCTTGCACAGCATCCCTACAGAGAACAGCTCGCTTGCACTAGCAGGGACTTGAACCCTGGACCCTCCTAGCAAAAAGCCAGCTGCGCTACCAACTGAGCTAGCTAGGCTCACCTGTGGAGGGCTCATCCTGTGGGGTGGGGGGGAGCCCCTAGAGAGGAAAAGGTGACTGCAACACAGGATACCACACCTATAGGGTTACCACGTGTCCGGTACTGACTGGACAGTTCAGTATTTTCGCCTCCTGCCCGGTAAAAAAATTCAGAAAATACCCAACACCTGAAACGTCCCCGTGGTATTTTCTGATTTTTTCCCGGCCAGGAGGCGAACATCCCAGGCGCTTACCTGGTTCCACATGGGTGCTGTCCGACCTGGCGCAGGGAGACAAGATGGTGGGCTGGCAGCCTGTTAGGACCAAAAAGCCTCAAAAGCATTTCTGAAAGGGGGAAAGCTGGCTTCCTGCACGTACCAGCTCCCAACTCCCCCCACCCCATGCTACTGCCTCTGATACAGAGGCAGCAAGGAGAGAAATGTGAGTAGTGGCAGCCTGTTAGGACCAAAAAGCCTCAAAAGCATTTCTGAAAGGGGGAAAGCTGGCTTCCTGCACGTACCAGCTCCCAACTCCCCCCACCCCATGCTACTGCCTCTGATACAGAGGCAGCAAGGAGAGGAGCAAGCAGGGCCAGCTTGAGCCATTCTTGTACCCTGGGCAGCAGGCATGCGGCGCATGTGCGGCTCCACCCCGGGTACCCGGCACATGCACAGCCCCC